AAAGGAGGAAGGGAGCTGGAGAAGGCCCTTACCTCTGCCCTGAGCCTCACTTCTATCTCCTAACTCCTGGCAATCAGTAGCCCCCAGCCCTGTGACACCCCTCCCCCAAAGACTTAGCACCCGCTATGCAGTGTAGGAGATGGGTAGTGTCCTATTACATCCCACTTCAGAGCAGGTTGCATCTCTGGTGAGGGTGTCCTGAGTCCCCACTTTGCCCCCAGCACTCAGCCTAGGCAGCTACAGCAGGCAGTGAGGAAAAAGGAGCATGTATGAGTGTTGGGGTGAAAGAATAGGCATCCACCCTCCGTTTGATTGCTGGTCTTGTTTTCTCAGCTTCTTCAAGAACACAGGTGCTGTCTCCCCCCCACCCCCACCATCATCACATCCTCCCTCTTCTGCATCAGTCCTCTCACAACTGCTGGAAGAGTTCTCACTGTTAAAGACATCCTCTCTTGATCCTGTGTCCCTCTCCAGCTGCTGCTCTTTCTCTCGTTCTTGCTTTCTTTCTTTCCAGACAGGGTCTCACTTTGTCACCCTTGGTAAAGTGCCGTGGCATCATAGCTCACCATAACCTCAAACTTCTGGACTTAAGCCATTCTCTTGCTCAGCCTCCCAAGTAGCTGGGACTATAGGCACCTGCCACAATGCCTGGCTATTTTTAGAGATGAGGTTTCACTCTGGCTCAGGCTGGTCTTGAACCTGTGAGCTCAGGCAATTCACCTGCCTCGGCCTCCCAAGTGCTGTGATTACAGGTGTGAGCCACTGCGCCTGGCTCTGCTGCCCTTTCATTCTACACCCTTGAGAACATAATTCTTCTCTAAGGAGTTCTCTGTCTATGCCCCTGTCTCCAGTTGCTTTTCTCTGGTTCTCTCCACTGGTCTCTACCTTTAGGTCTCCCTTCTCAAGGTTTCCAGGACCTCCAGATCATCAAATTAATGGTGGCTCTCAGCTTTCATTGTATCCTGCCTAGGGGCAGCACTGGTCCAAGTTCATCACTCCCTCTTCCTAAACATCCCTTTCCCTTGGCTCACAGCTTCCTCTTAAGTGGCCTCTCCTTTGCCACCCCCTCTGGCAGTTCCTCATTTGCCTCCTGCCTTGGCCATCTGACCTCTCCTCTCTATGCTTACTCCCTGAGACCCCAAGCTGTCCTGTGGTTTCACTAACATCTTATGCCAGGGACTCCCAAACTATATGGCCAGCCTTGAATTCTCCTCAAGAACTGCAGACTCCAATACCTATGGCCTATCTAGATGTCTACTATTAATAGAGATCTCAAATCCATCATGCCCCAATTCAAATGTGTGATTTCCCACCTCCCTACCTTCTTCCTCACCTCAGAAAATGCCATCACCGCTCATCCAACTGGTTTAGCAGAAGATATGAAGTTATGCTTCCTTTCTTTTCCCCATCATCCCCTAGATTCTGCAAGTTCCACCTTCAAGATGTTTTGTAACCTAATTACTGCTGCTACCATTATTCCAGCCACTATCATCTTGTGCCTGGGCCCCT